GAGTGCAAACTTGTGCAGCCACTTTAGAAATCAGTATGGAGATTCCTCAGAAAAAAATGGGAATCAGTCTACCACATGAACTAGCAATTCCAAACTTAGGCATATACCCAAAATATACCCATTGATATAATAAGGATGTCAGTTCCACTATCTTCATAGCAGCATTATTTGTAATAGCTAGATCCTGGAAGCAACCTTGATGCCCCACAACTGAAGATTGGATAGAGAAAATGTGGAACATACACACAGTGGGGTAGAACTCAGTGGAAAAAATGGAATCCTGAAATTTGCAGGCAATTGGAAAGCCCTAGAAGAAACCATCCTGAGTGAGGTAACCCAGTCACAATAAGACAAACATAGTATGTACTCACACATCTATGGATTTTAGACATGGATCAGGGGAGTGCCAGCCTAAAATCTCAGGGCCAATGAGTCTGGGAGACAAGGAGCTTCCCAAGAGATATGCATTATACCCCAGAGAAGCCAAAAGAGGCAAAATCTCCTGAGCAGATTGGAAACATGTAGGGAGATGAAAGGTAACCAGGAAAAAGAGAGTGCTATAAGGGAAGAGTAGAAAATGACATGGCGGAGCAGGAAGGTTGAGTAGGGGTAAGAATAGAGGAGACCAGGATGAGAGATACCATAATAGTTGGAGTCATTATATCTTTGAGTTGAGAGCTGACACCAGTGAGATTTCCAGAGATCTACAAGGATAACATTGACTGGAAAACTAAGTAATAGCGGAGAGATTACATTTATAGCCCCTACCTAATGACAAAGTTGATGACTTCCTTATATGAAATCCTAGAACCTCCATCCGGTGACTGATGGAAGCAGAGACAGATACTCACAGCTAAACATTGAACTGACCTGAAGGAATCCAGTGACAGAGATGGAGGAGTGATGAGCAAAGATTTCAAGACCATGCTGGTAAAACCCACAAAGACAGCTGACTGGACAAGGGGGAGCTCTTGATCCCCAGACTGATGACTAAGAGGCCAACAGGGGACTGATCCAAACTCCATGAATGCAGTGTCAGTGAGGGAATCTCAGAAATCTATGGGGCCTTGGGTAGTATATTAGTGTTTACCATGGCATACAAATGAACTTAGGAGCCCATTAGGAGTGATGATTTCTTAGACTGGACACATGGGGAAGGGCCTAGGTCCTGCCCTAGATTAAATGACAGACTCTGGAGATCCCCCATGGAGGGCCTCACCCTCCCTGGGGAAAGATGTGGGGATTGGGCTGGGAGTAAGGGGGTTGGAGTGGGGCTGGGAGGGAGAAGGGGGGGAAGCTGGGATTGACATTTGAAGCATGCATGTTTCTAATTTATATAAAAAAGGAAAAAAGAAAAAATGGAGTCTTGAAATTCGCAGGAAAATGGATAGAACTAGAAGAAAGCATCCTGAAAGAGGGAACCCAGTCACACAAAGACATCCATGTTATATACCCATTCATAAATGGATTTTAGACATAGAGCAAAGGATTTCTAGCCTACAATCTACACCTCCAGAGGAAGCAAGGAGTACATTATGAGAGACATAAAGGGTCCCTGTAGAAGATGAAAGGGAATAGATACCCTGAGCAAATATGGACAATGGGGGAGAGGGGAAAGGGAATTAGGAGATAAAGGAAAGGAAAAGAGGAGGGGGAGGAAAACATGAAAGAGAAGGGAGATTGTGTCAGGAGAAGAATAGAGGAGACCAAGAAAAGAGAGATCTTAACAGAGTCAAACATTATAGGATTGAAGAGAAATTCAGCACCAGGGAAATGTCCAGAGAACTACAAGGATGACCCCAACTAAGAATCTAAGCAATAGTGCAGAAGCTACCTCAAACACCTTTCTCCTATGATGAGATTGAAGACTACCTTAAATGCCATCCTAGAGCCCTCATCCAGTCACTGATGGAGTAGAAGTAGATATCCATAGCTAATCACTGAGCCAAATGCCTGGAATCCAGTTTTATACAGGGAGGAGTGATGACCAAAGGGGTCAGGATGAGGCTAAGGTAATCCACAAAACAGTTGAACTGCACAAGGTGAAAATCATGAACCCCAGACTGGCATCCCGACAACCACCATAGGACAGAACAAGCCCCCCAAGACCGTAGGTGTCAGTTAGGAACCCTGCCCATCAATGGCACCAATAGTAGTGGACCAACATTTATCCCTTTTTTATGAATGGACTTTAGGACCCCATTTCCAAAAGAGGGATAATCTGATACTAGAAATATGGGAGAGAGCCTAGTCCTTGTACCAAATGATGTGACATAATTGATGATGCAGCATGGAAGGTCTCCCTGAAGAGCAGAAGGGGCATGGGATGGGAGGTGGTTGGGGAGGCATGGGAGGAGGGGAGGGAGAGGACACTGGGATTGGTATGCAAAATAAGAGTGTTTCCAATTTAAATTTTAAAAATCTAGAAAGAAAGGAAAGGCTATTGACTTTTGTAAGCTGATTCTTTCCTTGTCATGTTGCTGAAATTGTTGACCCTCATACATGTGTTCTGGTATATTTTGGCATATCTTAGTTATAATATCATGTCACCTTAAAAATCAAGGGAATTTACAAGCATCTCTCCATAGGTGTGTGATTTTAATTTCCTTCACTCCCTTTATTGCTCACTGTAATGCCTCCAACACAATATTGTAAAGGAGTGGGAATAATGGGGACCCTGTCTTCTTCAAGATTGTAGTGGGTTATTTTCAGGTTTTCTACATATAAGATTGTGTAGCCAGCAGGTTTGTTAGAGAAAGATTTAAATATTTTGAATTATGTTCCCTGCAGTCCTACTCTCTCTGGGAGTTTTATCTTGGAAGCATGATGTATATTGTCACAAGCTTTGTTCTTTATCTAATGAGTTTATCTTGTGTACATTTTGTTACTCATTTTATTTATAGAATTCTATGTGTAGAACCAAGGCTGTATCACTGGAATAAAGCCACCTTAATAATTTTTGATGACCTTCTTGATATGGGGAAATATTCCACAGTATTGTGTTCAGGATTTTTGTCACTGTAATCACCAGTTATGTTTTTCTCTGTTTGTGTGCATGCACACACAAGCAAGGGGTAGAGACTATGTGTATGGATGTGTGTTCCATAATAGGGATAAAATAAATATTGTCTAATTATAATATATTTACAAGTGATCCTTCGTATTCTATGTTTACAATAAAATGTTGAAAGTGTATGCATGAAATTCTTCCTTGAAGGACTTGTAGCAAGACTGATATTGCATTTTTCTGATTGTCTCCATTGATTTTGATAGAGGCTGAACGACTTTTTCCTTCTACCAACAAGAACCAAGTACTGTCATTTCTTTGCATCCTCACCTGCCTGTGGTATCATTTCTTTAATGATTGTCTCCATTGATTTTGATAGAGGCTGAACGACTTTTTACTTCCACCAACAAGAACCAAGTACTGTCATTTCTTTGCATCCTCACCTGCCTGTGGTATCATTTCTTTAATGATGATTGTCATTCTGACAGAAATAAGACAAAATATCTACAAACTTTTAATTCCTTTGACCTGCTGGTTAAGGATGTGTTTCACATTCTGAGAATTTGCTTTTAGTTTTATAATCTACATTTTGAAATGGAGTAATTTGTTTTCTTGATGTTTATTTTACTTGGGAAACAGGGAATTATGTATCCGTGTGCATTGTTAATTTATAAAACTTTCATCCTGGGGAGGCGTCATACTGTTATGAGAACGTATCTGCAAAAAAAAATAATACATTCTGCAATTGCTTTGATGAAGGAAGTTTAAACTGGCAATAATAAGAGTAGTACCAACTAAACTGATATTTCAATAATCTTTTTAGGATTGTTAATGAAGAAATTACCATTCAGAGTATTCAGAGTACACTTAGAAATTGTACTGGTAGACAAAAAGAATATTGGTATTTGGATATTTTTATGAAACCAAGCATGCTTTACCTTCTGTAACTCAGGATGTAATTTCAAGTATTCACCTTTGAGTGACCTCTCAGATTGTGTATATATTAGACATGAAGTAAATATGTGAATGGTGTGCTTTAGAACTTGCATGGCATGTAAACACTTAGCAGATTAGATAGCAAATTCTACTAATAAATGAAGTACCCATATGATTTTTACTTCTAAAACTTGACCACTCATATGTAATTGAATTCCAAAGAGCCAGCACTAAACTAAAATACATATGAGAAACACTAATCGACACAGTTGAGCGATAAATATCTGTGTCATTCTCTGTCAACACACACACACATTCACACATACATTCAAATAAATGTGTATACTTAAGTGGATGTTGGAAAAAAGTTAAGGGGCACATAAATAAAAGCAGTTAGTTTTAGAATGTGGGTGTATATGATGTAAATGTACACTGAATATACAAAATGAATGTAGCAACAGTGACTAACATCTTTTCTATTTCCTTGATCCAAGCCCTCAAAGAAGATTGCATCTTTCTTTTCTTTTACCATAGCTATATATATTCTAAGGAATAATTGTAATACATGCAGAAAATGTAATATCTTCATGTATATGTGTAGGGCTTGGTGTCTATGGAATACCATTCTCATGAATTTATTCTTCAACTGTGAATGACTAATATGTACACCATCTAAACATATCCTGATTGATTTACATACTGAAATCATTTAACAAAAGATAATCTCGTCAGATGGCCTTTTGAAAACAGAATTCATCCTCAATTTTCAATAATGTTGAACATGGAGGAAGAACCAAAGAGTTTGTTACACAAATTATTTCAGTGTGTTACAACCATTCAACTGCAAATCTCAAGTTAAAACTGAAAATAAATATGGAACACAACAATAACTTCACTTCTGCACTGTTCTTGCCCATGGCTATCCAGCAATGATGAAATTTCAATTACTACAATAGTTTGTAATGATGCGGATATCATTTGTTACACCGGAGTGATTATTTTAATTATCTTAGTGACTATTTATGGGCTTTTTCAATGAGATACATTTTGCAAGGCATTTATTGCTTCTTGAAACAATTTATTTAATCAGTCAAAAAAATAAGAACAGGTAATACATCATGTGATGGGAAAGGAAAGCTAAGCCAGGAATTTGATATGTGGTATCCTGGCTCTACAGGAGATGGGACAATTCATGTAGAATGAAATGGCGATTTATTTGTGATGCTGATTCCATGATCAAGAGGATATGATGCATAATTGCCATCCTGTTCTCACCTTGGCAGCATGAAAGCAAAAATTAAAACATGGTTGAACATAGTCGTTTTAAGAGTGCATGAATATAACATTAGATATCTCATTATAGAGTATACAGAAGTGATTGTACACAAACAGCTCATTTCCTGGAAATCGCCAATACCTGTACTTTGGATTCTATATGAGCACAGTCTACAGTGAATAATGTCATTCTGTGTCCCCCACATGAAATGTAGATTGAGGTTTCACAGAATATATAGAAAATATAAACATGCTTGTGGTGTATCTGTGACAAATTATATTTCACAATCATAAGTATGATTTTTCAAATAACAAGTAACATTTTTGATGTAAATTTACTAAATATAAAAATATTATCAATTCTGAATAAAAGAACTTAATATTGTCTTATACATAAATTATTCTACCTTTCACTTTTACCATTGTAACATTTTCAGCTTTAAAAGAAGAATGATATTCTCTCTTTATATTGCTTACTTTTGAGTTCCTTTCATCCTTTGTCAAGACTTATTTCTAATTTTCTTGTTAGGAGGAAAAATCGATTCAAATATCAGTATGGCTATCATGCCTTCAACTTTTACTCACCTACGGAAGGCCTTTATTCAGGACAAGTATCTGAAAAAGAACATGAGTGGGGTAAGGAGTGACAGAAGTGTTATAAGAATATAGGAACAGTTTCCCCAATGATTATTGCTGGAAAGGACACCTGAAAGACAATACGACTAGATACAATATGAATCAGGCATCTGACTAGACAGACAGACAGACAGGCAGGCAGACAGATAGACAGACTCAATATATATATATCTATATGTAAATTTATATATATATATATTATAGCTAAAAGATATTCATTGATGTTACCTGTAGCAAGAATATTGAGAATGTTTTCCACTGGAATTTTCTTTTCATGAGCAAATTGCACAAGTATTTCATTTTCTTCAGGTGTCAAAGCATTACCTTTTCCTACATTGCATGAAGGACAATGTCAATGACATGGTCAGTTGAATTCAGCAAAATTTACATTGTTTCCTTAGTGTCCCACTGTTATTGGCAATGGAAAAATCCTAACTTCACCAAATTCACCTGTCCTGGATGGGTCAATACAGTCAATTACAGTTGTAATTTTCCCAGTGTTCCATGGACACCTTGGAAGACCTCTAACTTGTGGTATGACATCATGTTCCATTGTTACATGATGCACCAAAAAAGAATAACTACCTTTCTAGAGAATTCACTCATCTTAGTCCTCTAAATGTTCAAAAATATGTCACCAAAGAGACAAAAATGCATGCCAGTGGAACCTTCACAACTCACCGAGTCTATTCACTAAGGATCATGGTTTTTGTGTGTTTGTTTTTTAAATTTAAATTAGAATCAATCTTGCATCACATATCAATCCCAGCTCACTCTCCTTCCCCTCCTCCCCTGTCCCCTTCAAGTCTGCCACAACTTTCCACTCAATCCAGACTCCACTCTCCAAGGAGGGTGAGGCCATTCTTGAGGGATCTCTCAAGACTGTCATATCATCCATGGCAGGGCCTAGCCCTTCCCCCATGTGTCCAGGCTGTGACAACATCCCTTCCTGTAGAATGGTTGTCCAAAGTCCATCTGGATGCCAGGGATAAATGCTATCTGTTGCCTGAGGCCTCAAAGACTGTAGATGCCTCCTCACTGGCAGCTACATTCAGGGTATCTGGATCAGTCCCATGTTGGCCTCTCAACAATCAGTCTGGTGTCCATGAGCTCCCCCTTGATCTGGTCTGCTGTTTCCATGACTGCCAAGTCTTAACCCCTTTGCTCATTACTCCTCCCATTCTGCAACTGGGTTCCAGGAGTTGACTTCAGTGTTTAGCTGTGAGTGTCTGACTCTGCTTCCTTCAGCCACTGCATGAAGGTTCTAGGATGGCATACAAGGAATTCATCAATCACAATATCTGGGAAGGGCATTTGAGGTAGCCTCTCCACTGTTGGTTAGGCTGAGTTCAAAACCAAAAGTATAAGGATCATGTTTAAATTTAGTACACACTTGATCATATAATACTCAAAATGGTCTAAACTTTGGGAAAATATTATTTGCCTTACTCTTTCCACTGAGGAAACATGAACATAAACTCTCCCAAGAGCCTCTGCTGTTGCCCCTAGTCTTCAGTGACCCTGCTATTATTTCAGAGAAACCACTACCATTCTTACCAGCAACAACAATCATGTTCGTTTCCTGGCCAGCTCTATCCATGTTCTTGTTGGTAAAGAAAATCTTGTCTGATGTTATATACAAAGGTTGAAATATATTGTTACCTTCAACTGTAATAAAGGAAATATTTCAAAACTGAGTATCACTGCTGAAGATTAATGGAGGCCCAGACTCTAGCAATCATCTCTTATCTATTATCAAATGACACATTTGTACAAAGCTATTCCTGTAGTCCTTCATTTTGGATATTTCATCAAAGTATTTTGAGCAAACATTTCTGCTCTTCAAATCTGATATGAATCCTAAGTACGGATACTCCAATTTTTCTCTGATTTTCTTGTGTTAAAACTTTGGGAACAATCTGTTGGATATTCTGTCTGCTTTTAACCAGATCCCAAAGGCCACTTGTTGATTTCCTCAATGTGTAAATATCTGGTGCCATACCATGGAAATACTCAGTGGGCAAATGTTTCCATGTGGAAAAATAGAACATAGTAATTTGTCATGTGTACAAAAGTTGTCATCTTGAAAGTAGGATGGACTTTTTGTGTTTGACAGACATTGCTATTGTGTGCAATTGCCTATCTGTCTATCTATCTGTTTCTGTATGCCTCTGTGTGTGTGTGTGTGTATGCGTGCTCATTGGAATGCAAGCATGCATGGATTATTTCCACTCTCTAACATTTATTAAATATGAAAAGTAGTTCCACATGAAAATAAAAGGATTTATAGGGTGTGTTCATTTTATATTGCAGGACTGCTTTTTAATATACATGTAAATTTAGTAGAGCATGAGACCTGCCACAAGAATGTGCCCTCTGTTCATTTAAATCAAACTAAACATCAAATTGTGATTGATTCAGTTGAATAGTGTTGCCATTGTTTAAGTAAATATTAAAGTTTGAAGTACTCAGCATGAAAATCTTAACCAGATCTTCAACTAACTGCCTTTTAAAATTGAAATTTATCATCTGATTATCTAAATGTTATGATCTCTACAAACTATGAGAGAAATAATCTTTGAAATCGCACTGTTCATTTAAATGTTCTAGAAATCAAGAATGACAGATAACACCCACAATGTAAGTACTTGAGGACATGAGGCATGAAGTTTGCAAAGATATTCAGGTCACTGAGTCCTATTAGTGACTGGCAGACACATCCAGTAACAATCTGAGACACCATATGAAAGAAAAGCTTCTGAATACTAACTGGAAATAAATTTTCATGCATTCAAACTATTTGGAGATATTTTTCTATGATTACTCACACCTTTCTGTAACAGTGTTCTTCTCCACGTAAACTTCAGATGACGTACAATGTTATCTGACTATGAAGCATATCTCAGTTCATTGGAAGGATTGATAACTTTACAAGTAGCCAAAATTTTTCTAAATCCATGCACCTATGGGTGTCTGAAGTATCAACATGAATATGTACATCAGCATTGCTTTGTTCATAAAGGAAACACACAGATCCTGTACTTACACTGGGTTTGGTAGGTTCCATTTCCTTTCAAGTACCCAATGACTGTGGTCTTGGAGCACTGGTTGTTTGTACTAAAAACCAAACAGAGAAACCATAATTTTTTCTGTGTAAAATTTGAATTCATCTTAAAGACCTTCAAGTGTTATAACGAACTTCAGAGTGCACTAGCATCTGTTAAGAGTGTACAGAGCTAGGACCAAAATATGTATGCTTACCTCACTTTTCCTAAAACTTGTCTAGATTGTATCATCTTGTTATTAATCATACAGGTAAATTCCTTCATTTGTTCTCATTTTGTTAATGCTATGAAGGCTCTAATTTGTCTCTCTTCCAAACTTTATTATTAAATGAATGTGATTTCAAATATTCTCTTGTGCTTGTCCAATGATATAATATGTACACAATTTATTATGCATGTGTTAAGTACTTTTATTGCTAACCTAAAAAATAGAAATAGTTCTAAGCATTTTTAGTTCTTATGGTGTCATGCAGTCTTTCAATGAATACAGTTATCCAAATGTCAGAGAGATAATGTTTGGTTCTAGAGCTTCAGAGAAAGGGAATCGCAAATTAGATTTTTCTCGACTATTTGTGGAGGACTATTTCATGACATCATAGATTGAATAACATAACATGCACAGCTTTTACCAAAAGGCTCACATATTCCTGATGACTTACTAGAAATTGGAAGCTTAGATTCCCCTGCATCCAATATTTGACTATAACATTCAACAACATTCTTCCAACAACTAGGCTTTTTAAGGAAACACTCAAGAAATTGGAGACAATGATCAACTGGAATAAGTTTAACACAATGCTAAAGATGAGGCCTTCATTTTCACAACCAGAAACAGAACATGCCCCTGTAAGCTTAACATAAAGGTTGCAGAATGCATAAATAGTCTGCTCAATTTACAAGCTTGACAATTTGCTTACATGACATAAAATGTGATTTCCATTTCACTGCAGTTTTTATAACAATCAATATGACGAAAATAGAATCTCAGTGGCCCTCCTTCTTCTATCTTTTCAAGATTGTCAGCAGCAATGACAATGGTATACCATTTTCCTTGAAGCTGAAAAAAGCAACAAAGGCAAATGAAGCAAAGAAAAACTATATACCAGTGGTATAAATTCACATCTCTGTTCCCAGTTCTTGGAATTATGTAAACTCACTATAAATGTCAATGAATAATATTTTGTTCATTAGTTCAAGATTAAGTTCCTAGGGATGTAGAATAACTCAGGGTAATATGATGATTTAATCAACATAGAACATTTTGAGCTGAGACTTTGCAGAAGTGCTCATGTTTTGCCCTCTTATGCTCTGCAAATATCACCCATTGTTTCCTTATTCCAATTGTTTCAGTGAGAGGAATCTAATAGGTAAACTGTACCTCTGTGACAGTCAGAAAACTTATTTCTTAAATATAGTCTTGCATGGACTAACTGAGTGATGTGTCACATCCACAGAAATATGCTGTTGATGAAGCTAAGATATATGAATAGAGCAAATGAATTTACCTCTGCAAAATCCTGAGCATGAGCCAGACTAAAGACCAAAGCCAGCAGCAGAATCTTTACCATGGTGGTGCCTGACTTTGCTTTTCCACAGAAGCTCGAAGAGGTGAGTGGTTGAGAAGAACTCAACTGACAAAGCTTTTTATACAGATAGTTAGAGGGAGTTTCACGGAACCAACCAGTTTGATCTACACTAAGCTACATCTGTCTAGTGTTTCCTCTTTGGCCCTGCCAAATGATGTATGACCTCATATCTCAAAACTAATGTGATTAGCCTTAAGGTCAGGTTATGTTTGTTTGAAAATTGAGCATTCCTGTTAGAAACAAAGAACTATCTTGTTTGAGCATACAAATAATAATTTTCCTTCCAGAACTATACCGTTGGGTAAAGGTCACTGTGCTTCTTAAAGGACTTTCCATACATTGACTACTTTATTCTTCTTGTACATTGAATTCAACAACCATGGTACGTTGCTGCACGAGTTGCTGAAGCTTAACAGTAAATACAGTAGGAAAATTGCTCCCATTCCTCGAAATAAATAAAAATATCATTAATTAAAAGAACCAAATCAAGTGAAACAGTCTACAAAAATAATGACATTAACAAAACTAATTGTGATAAGGGGCTCTACATTCAGGCTGAAAATATTCCTTTATGTTTGCTAAACAAAGGCTATCCCTGCCCAGTTGCAGTGTTTACACATTAAAACCAATACCTGTGTTGTGCTGAGCCATAGTGTCTTGTGATCCTTTTTTAGTGACAACCAAGAAGAAATCCAGGATTCTACAGTACTGTTTATCCTCCATCGATTTCCTCTATAACACATGGAATAACCGACCATTCACCCACTGGTATTTTGGGTTGACAACCTGTTATCAAACTACACCATTATAAGGCATTAGTTGCCCTTTGTGACTCTTTCTTTAAATTACATTGCATTATTATTTTTATATTTTATTTTTGAGATTATAACATGTTTTTATCATTATTCACTTCCCATTCCTCCTCCCTCTAATACTTCCAATATGCTCACCCTATAATGTCTTTCAATTTAGTGAACTCTTATTTCAGTAAATGTTGTTACATGTATGAGAGTTTCAAGGTCTCAAATGAGTCTTAGTTTTCTCGGAAGATTTAGAGCTAGGAATAACAGAAGAGACATAACATGCCACTTTTGTATTCTTAGGTCTGGAGTACCTCACTCAGTAGGATACTTTTTCATGCCTGCAGTTTATCTACAAATGTCATGATTTCCTTTTTTCATTATCATGGAATGTTATTACAACGTGTGTATTACCACTATTTCATTGTCCATTACATAGCTATAGAACATTTAATTTGTTTCCTTTTCCTAGCTGTCGTGAATACAGTAGCAATCAACATGGATGAGAAAGTATCTGTGAAATAGAATTTGAAGTCATTTAGGCATATTACAAGGTTAAGTACAGCTGAGTCACACAGTACATATTTACTTTTAGAAAAGTCAGAATGCTCCACACTGTTTTCCAGATTTGATATACATTTATTACAATCTAAACAAATGTTGTCTTTGGGCTCATCTCTCTGTGTCTGCCCCCCTCTCTCTGTGTGTGTATGGGTGTCTCTCCTTCTCTGTGTGTATGTGTGTTTTGTGTTATCTCATAAAATTATTATTTACCTGTCCCAGCCCCATTTTTACTGGACTGCCTCTTTACTGATACTCTGTGTTAAACTAGTCATGTGTTGTGGATATTCATTCACATGCAACATATTTGTTTATACCTGGCATAATCTAGCCTTTAGCTGTCTGGCAGAAGTTATGGAAGACAACTGGACTCCTGTAATAGTAAATTTGTTTTCTTAACAAGGGGCCACTGATAGTTTGGGGTTGGAAAAACATTAGGTAGCCCACTCCCTTCTACGTGAAAAGGACTTGTTGTGCACAGCAGGCCTTTACAAGATTATGTTGAAGAGTTTAGACATGAGAGAGAAGCTTTTTCAGAATATATTACATATGTGGGAAATTGTCAACAATCAGTTTTCAAATAAAGCATGTTACTAGAGACATTCCTGACAATCCACTTTTTTGAAAAATGAAAAAGAAATACTTCTGGAGTATGGAATGAAATATGCAGTACTGAGACATTCTGTGTATTCAGGTCCATAGACCTGGATCTCTGAGGCCCATAGAGCCTTCCATGAAATCCTTCCACCCTGTCCCAAGATCCAATCATCAGTTTAGTGACACTCACAGAGTGTTTGTGTTCTCCAAATTCTAGAAATATAGAAAAAACAGTAGAAGGGACACTAGTTCTCATTCTTTCTTCCAATGATTTTGTTTTCTGTTACCAGTGTGTAAGAATGTGTGGACTATCCCCTTTGTAATCTAATTACAGAATGGTGATATATTTCTGTTTTTCGACCTGCCAAAACACATGGATGATTCAATGACTTCTGTTTTGTAAGAATCAGTTCTGTTTTTCTTAGCTTCATGCCCAGTATCAAGATGAAAAGAGGTGCTCACCTGAGAGACTTATTTGCTTGGAACCCTTTGCCAATTCTCAGGCATTGGGCACAGATACATTTTAATACATTTGTTATACTTTCCAATAAGAGGTTTGTTTTATATTTTCAGAAGGGATAAAGTCATTTGGACATGATTGTTTCATTTTGTTGTTTTCAATAGTGCACTGTTCAGAACTTTGCAGATTTATATAAGCAGTCCTCAGTTTTAATAATGATATTAGGAATTTTGTTATACATTCTCAATATATGTTTTTATAAAGAAATGTATTTAAGTATAGTCTCAGAATATAAACTTTCTATCAACTATTTCTTTAGCATATCTCAAAGTCACAAATATCTAAATTTTATGAAAGTTCACCTCTGTCCTACCTCTCTCTCTCTCTCTTTCTCTCTGCTTCACGTGGCAATGAAGAAATGCAAGTTTCAATTTCCTAAAACATGTTTCATTTATCGTGTATCCAAGACTTTAAATCTCCCACGATCTTTTCTGCAAAATATTTTCCAGCTTTGCCTCTTAAATGTAGCTATCTGGCATTGTCCTGGATGTAGGTCAATGTATTTGGAATATGACTCGGGAGTTTCTGATTGCCCATATTCATGTTTTCCCCAATAATAAGCATGTTGTAGGCAGTAATTTTTTTTACTCAAATGCTTATCACAATCATTCACAAAGAATACCCATTAGATTGCATTTGTAGTTCCTGATTATTTACCCAGATTTTGTATTTCCAGAATTCCCTCAGTTAGTGTTTTCTTTATTGTCTCTGTTTCAGTTTTCAATTCTTGAACTGTTTGAATTATTTCCTTCACTGTTTTGTCTGTTTTTTCTTGTCCTTCCTTGCTTTCTTTAAAAGATTTGTTTATATCTTCCTTTCTTGGCTTGTCTTTTCCTCCATTTTTTCCTTTTTTTCCATTTCTTTAAGGGATTTCCTCATTTCCTGTTTGAGGGGCCTCTATCATATTCATAAAGTTGTTTTTAAGTTCTGTCTCTTCTGCTTCATCTGCGTTGGGATGTTCATGTCTTCCTGATATAGACTCCCTAGACCCTGGTGGTGTCATATTGGTTTTTCTGTTGTTGAATATGTTCTTCTACTGTCATCTTCCAGTGGGTGTAGGTGGTGACTCTCCCTCTCCTGATGGCTGCAGGTCCAATGCTCTCTCTTCTCCTCTCCCTGTGGGTGCAGGTTCAAGGCTCCAATGGCAGATGCTAGATGGTTTGGTCAGCCCCCAAGTCTCTGGGTGATTCAATAGGCCTCAATTCAGGGTACTACAAAGTAGGAAGGTGGACAGGAAAAGGCCCATCACTCAACTCTCTTGGTAGGTGAAGGTCCAATGTGGGAGTTATGCAGGAGAAGGCTTGGCACAAACCTCTCCTAGTGGGTATAGTTTCAAGATTCCCATGGTGTCATATGGTAGATGGTTCAGTCTGCCCCCAGATCTCTGGCGATTTGGTAGTCAGGATGAGACTGCAGGCCTCAATTCAATGTACTCCAGTAGGGGAAGGTGCGCAGAAGAAGGCCAGGTACTCACATCTCCCACTGGGTATAGGTCCAAGGGGGGGTGGCAGACAGGAGAAGGCCTGATACTCACCTCTCCTGGGTAAACCCACATAAACAGTTGACCTAATCAGGTAGAAATTCAATGACCAAAGTCTGACAACTGGGAAACCAGCATAGGTCCAAAGCAGGCCATCTGAACATGGGTGTCACTTGGGAGGCCTGGGCAGTCTATGCAGACTCTGGCAATGGAACCAGTATTATCTCTAGTCTACAAATGATCTTTGGGGGTCCATTCTCTCTGGAGTGATACTCTCTCAACCTAGGTACATGGGGGAAGGGCCTAGGTCCTGACCCAAATGATGTGTCAGACGTTGGTGAACCCTCATCGGGGGCCTCTTCCTAACTAGGGAGTAGATGGGGGGGTGAGGTAGGGGGTTGCTGGGGAAAATGGGAGGACAGGAGGGAGAGGTAACTGGGATTGGTATGTAAAATTATATTGATTTTAATTTAAATATAATTTATGTAAAAAGGAAAAATAGGAACAATTTAAATTAAAAAATAATACCAACCAGAAGTATGATTCTTAATAATTTTAAGTAAACAGTTTTTTTTACTATTTCAAATTAATATTTGTAACATTCTACATTACAAAAGAGATTTGCTTTCTGTTTAATGGTTTAAACATCACCAGAATGAGTCAACCGTGATTCAGTAAACCAACATTCTTTCATTTCCAGTTGAGTGACAAATCATCTCAAGAGTACCCCACCTCAAGCAGTGCTTTTAGCTTAGGATTCCTATATAATCAATTTCCATTATCTTCATCCCTTCAGGTAGGTTTCAAATCAGAAGAGATTAGTTTTATTATTTTCTCCTTCCATCCCCTTTCCTCTTCTGTATGGCAGGAATATGCCCTGGACATTCCCACTGTCATTGCTAGAGTAAAAGCGTAAGCATTCTCTGTTAACTACTTCACCACTATATCTCACAGCCCTAATAGCTAATGGTTAATCAAGTTTACCTCTCCTCTCCACCTCTTTGTAAATCCTAGAATAAAGCAGTCACTCGTAGATGCTTACTCTAAATGAAGTCCTATGCCAATGTCCAAGTTCTTAGACCTTAACATGATCAGTTCATCTAAAGC